TGAGCCCAAGCATCTTGCGAAGAAGACCAGGTGAGTAGAGACGTGGGCCAGAAGAATATACTGTATGCCATCTGCAAAGCTCAAAGAGGATGTTGATGTCAACTCTTTGACTACCCAGGCCTTACACCTGCACAAGCCCCAAAAGCCCCAAATCTCTGTCACCGCCGGGGACCTGCGACCTCCGCTGTGGGCTCCTGGCCGCGCGCCGCTTCGGGGCCTCGGGGTCGAAGCGCCCTCTAATGGATGAGCCACGGTTAGACATGATACATACTGTTCAACACAACAGAGAACGTCGCCAAACGTGTAAGACATGAGACACATATACATGTTTACATATACGTGTAAATATAGATGCATTGTATCATATATATATATATATAATACTTGTATGAGATATGAGATATGATGTGTGGCATAGAAGTTACATGTAATATATGATACGTTATATAAGGACAGATGACTCAGAAAAGGCCGACGTTTGCTTTTCTGTGGGCCCAGGCTCCTGAAATTGTACTATCTTATGTTATGGCAAGATGCGTACATACCGATATGTATCCCGTCCTAGAAAACTCTGTTCTCCTGCACTGGCCTGCATGGTCTTGATTCTTAGTCTGCATAACCCTGATTCCTAATCTCAAGCCATGTGGCATTCAAAGATGGACATTCCGAGATGCTGGTTGACAATAAGCTTCTCGGCTATTGCAGTCTCCCCCCATCAAGTAGCTAAGCTTGCACCACCTGTCATCGTCTTGCTCTAGCACTGCCGCAATCAGAACAAATGTATGATTTTGAATGGCGCACCCTGACATAATGCCATGCAGTTGATCTGATGCTGCTAGATGTCACCATATCATCGTGGAAGATGTCCTATCATCTTGATCTGATACATATTATATCTCTGTGCCCATACATGAGAGGCACTCGCTCACTCATCCAGTTTGACTATGATGATGACTTGTACAAGGGCCACGAGTCAAAGTATGCGTATTCGCAATCGGAGCGGAGGTTGAGTCAAAGTCGCCGTCGTCGTTGTGGTCGTCGTCGCTGTCGTGCTTTGAAGTCGTAGTCGTAGTCTAGCAGGGGTAGCGGTAGTCGTCGTCGTTGTCGTTGTACGTAGCAGAGTATCAGCAGCAGCAGCAGCAGTAGTAGCAACATAACAGGTACGGCAACAGGCAACGGTAGTGTCGTTCAAGAAAAACGAGGAGGCCATGGATAGTGATGCCATCAATCGTATAGTTGTCATCACTCTGATCAGCATGAAAATCCTAGGAAGGATCAGATGAGAATGAACAGTCTTGTTCAGCTTGGAAAAAGCAAGGAAGTATTGAGGCATGCTACTCCCATTGACACACTCATGACGCACCCCGAACATTTTCAGTGTGGCAGTGGTAGAACAGGAATCGGCAACACGAGATTGCAAAGAACGCAGACCCTCCGATGCGAACGGCAGAATAGCAAGTCTAGGACTAGCTCTTAGGCCACGGCCACGCGGCGCTTGGGGCGTCCGCGGCAAGAGGAGACGCATGGACGGTCCCAAGAGGTCTCTCCAGTTCGGCGATTGTGGTAATACCTGAGATCTGGCTTTGCTGGCTCTACACGACTCCGACATGCACTGGGTGGCAGAAGGGTTTTTGGGTTCTGGTGCACCCGCCAAACCTTGTCACTAGAGGCACTCCTGACACCGTGCCAAGATGTGCGTGCCCAACGACAGTCATCTCAAACCAGCACTCTTCGGTACGTTTCTGCGAACTGCAGTACTATAGCAGAAAGCAGCGGGACCCAGTTGTGCATCATATGATGTTATGCTATATGGTACAGCAAAATGTATGAGATTTTCTGATACTGTATGATATGATGATATGATATGACCTGGCCTGATATCATCTGATGATCTGATGTTACAGTACGTCTGGGCTGCCGGCCATCTCCCCGAAGGCGCGTGGGCCACCAGCTGCCAGGGAGCCTGTGGAAGGTCCCGGGTTCTTGGCTTCAAAGGACAAAGTGGGGGTTTCAAGGATCGAATTATGATTGAGGGTTTAGGGATGTTTAGGGTTTAGGGGGGGTTTTAAGGGTCGAACTAGGGTTTAGGGCTTAGGGTTTAAAGGGGGCTTTTCAAGGGTTGAACTATGGTTTAAGGGTTAGGGTTTCGGGAGGGGGGGGCGGGTTCTAACTATGTTTTTGGGGTATGGATTAGGGGGTTTCAAGGCTTCAGCTGCAAATGGCTACGATGCAGCATAGCTGGCGACAACGTCCGAGCATGCACGACAAGATACGGCAGGCTGTCAAGCACGACTGTACGCCACGTATACCTTGGTGAATTGCAATACACCCTGACATAGCACCGAACGATATCCCCAAACTATATAGCGGCATGATCGAAGCATGCCAATCTAGACGAGCATGTACCGTGACCTGTGACACACCATGATGGTCCCTCTGGATGCCGAGGAGCTAAGGGTTCTGGTGGCCGCTCACGCATGAGCGCCGTAGGCCTCGGAAAGTACGCATTAGATATGCTTTATGCAACCTTATCTCTGACCTGCGCTTTGGTACAGTAAATACAGCTCATATATAACATGCCTACGCCTTTACCTACACTGCAAGACTTCCAAAGGAGGTTAGTTGGTGTCGGGTAAGCCAACGGAAGGAGAGGAACTCAGTCCTCCACAACTCGTCTTCTTGTTTGTCGTGCTCCACTTCATGATAGGCATGTATTTCTGGGCCGATATGGGCCAAGAGTACACGACTCTCTCTTTGCTACCCGAATATCGTACGAGTGGTGCACTGTCCGGGACCCTGGCAAGTCCCAGGTGGTCACGTTGGTTTCCTGCAATGCCCAAGCTACCGAAGGGTCGAGGGAGAGGCTACGGCTACTGCCGGCCGAGCGCGTCACCTACGCTAGAAGGGTCCCTCTTGGGGGGATCGCCCATGGCGTTCTGAGGGGTTTCGGCGGCTTCGGGCTCCTGCGGCTCCTCCTAGGCCATGCCATGGCAAGGATTGGGAACCAACGATGAGAGTTCGTTTTTTGGGTGTAGTAAACTGTTGCACTATAAGTTGGACGACAATTCGATTGGAGATTGTTCAAGGGCCCCCCCCCCCACAACGGTTCAAATTTTCGGGTTTGGGGCCAGCTTGGGGTTGTATCTTGGATCCCGCAGCCCCTGCGCAGCCGCCAAGGGCAGCCTCGTTGTGGTAGTACCAGCAGCCTGCCAAGGCTCTTGCAACGCAGATCCAGCCTTCCCAGCGGTAACTCCGAAAGTCCACGACCGAAACTCAAGCTCGCTGAGACCATTCTAACCCCTATACCCTAAACCCTAAACCCTAAACCCTAAACCGAAACCTAAAGCCGAATTGTGCTCCCCAAGGGCCTGTGTCCACATCGAGGTAGCTTCTCCACGGGGCTGGCGGCGACTTGGGCCGCTGCCTCTCGTCAGGTCTGCCGGCAGTTTAGGGCTCTTGAGGGTTCCGGGTTTAGGGTTTAGGGTTTATTAGGTTTAGGGGTCTAGGGCTCCGGGTTTAGGGTTTGCAGGGTTTAAGGTTCCAGGGTTCGAGCTTGGAGTTTAGGGTTCAAGTGCTCTTCGCTTCGAAGGTCAAACCCGCCAGAGATCAGAGAAGGTAGGCTTTTGAAGTTGCTTGTCCAGGTCTCTAAGCCTCTAAGCCTCTATGAGGGCGAGGTCAATGAGTTTCAGGTTGAAGCTGACAGCAATATCACTGGTGTTATAGGCTGTTGTAGTTCGGTCCACTGTTGAAATACTGTTGAAATATGTTGAAATCACATCTGCGTTAATGAATATCAAGTGCTTAAGTAATGACCTGTCCTGATGCTTGCTGTACGAGCTGGACTGGTTTGATGCAGAGCACGTGGCCTTGGGCTACAGAAGTGTTAATCAGATGCCACAGTGTGCTTCACGCAGCGCGCCTGCCCTGCTCGCTGGCCGTCCTTCAGCTCTGGATCGGCGCAGGATTGCGGATCAGAAAAGATGAACAGGCAGCCGTTATGTCTTTGGGCTTGAAGCAAAACCCCGCTCCTTCGGGAGCTCGTCCGCCGCGACCTCCGAAGGGCAACGAACCTGTCGGAACAGTCCCCAGGCCCAGGCTATTTCTGTAGAGTCTTGAAACGTGTGTCAAGAAAAGTGCTCCCAGAAATCGGACGGAACAGGGGCTGCGGCATGTGTCAAACTGCTTCAGGACATATCGTGAACTTTCGGAATATTTTTGGAGCAGCGAGACCGGCAGACCGTACAGACCCTCAAGGACATCGACGTTTCACGAATGGTCGCGCTTGGGCCGAAGAGCTATGCGCCTGAAGCGCGAAAGCATCCTTCAAAGCCTTTCATGGAACCATCTTCTGCAGAAGACACCACTGCAGGACAAGCATTGAAAAGCCCGAATGTTCAAGCCAAGGGTTCAGGGTTAGGGGAAGGTGCGGCAAAACTCAGGCCAGCCTGCTGTGTTGCATATCCGAAATGCGACCACGAAATCCTCGCTATCCCTGCTTGAGTTTAGGGCTCGCAGGCCTTGCGAGCTTCTCCTGCTGGCGTCGAAGCGCTTCGACGCGAAGGTCTTGCTCGCCTCACACATCATGGGATCCTCTCACAAATGGCCAAGGCGGGGCATGATTTTCTGGGAGAAGACGTACTTCCAACAAATCCCGACAAACCCAGGCAGCCTGCCGCTGTTGCTGCCATTGCTGCTGAGGCCTGTGCTGGGCGCTTGGCTGCCGAGCTCCTTGTGCAGGGCCTGCAGGTCCTCGGTGCAGGGAACATCTGATGCGCTTTGATGCTCCGAGAGCCTCTGCTCAGGGCCTCCAGAAGATGAAAAGGGATCCACAACCCCCACGGCCCCCGTGGGACTCCTCCTCTTCCTTGCGACGCATCTCTACGATCTCCTCATCGAGGCGTTCAGCCTGGCATGGGGAGGTCTGGCTTCGGCATTGGAGGGCTCCACAAGGCTGGCAGGCGGGTCTCGCCTTGGACTTCTCTTTCGCAAAGAGGCGCTGCAGCATCGACAAAGCCTAGTACCAGGCACCCAAGTCCATCCCTGTGGCCGCTTCCAACCCTCGACTCCGAGCTCCCGGCGGTGAGCTGTGTTCGTTGGCCGCGACGCGGGGCCTGGTGCCACAGCACGTCACCGTCTGCAAAACAATGGCCTAGAGTGGCATGGAAGACCCTGGGGCCGATCTGGGAGGTGCACGGAAGATGAACACATGGCTGTTGCCCCTGCTGCAAGGCCGGCCAAGGTCGCCAAGGACACCTGGCAAGCAACATGGTGTCAAAAGCTTGCAAGTCTCAGCCGCGGCCTCTGGTCCGCAACTGCGCCTGCAATGCGGAATAGCTCAAGGGCTGCGCAAAGGCATTGTAGGGAGTGCCTCCGGAGCTTTGAGGCCCTGACCCTGCAATGCAGTTCTCTCGCGGCACATTACACAGCCTTGCAGCTCGAGAGTCCGCCTTTGGTGATTTGGCAGTCACGTCCGGCCTTCCAGCCCGGGGCGGCACCGGCAGCTGAGGCGGCGGAGCCTGCACCCGATCGATCCCCATGTGCCGCTCTGACCGTGATTCTGAGAATGCGAGGGATGTCTTGGTCTTCTGGGATCATGTGATGTGCCAACCAGGGAAAGCATCATGTAGGGCTTAGAACGTTTGAAGCCTGAACCCATACCTTGCAGAAATCTGGAATTACAAACCCAGCATTGACCCCGAAACAATTGGCCAGGACGTCAACAACTGACACTGGAGGCTCTGGCCATAAAGCCATGCATGGAAAGAATACACTAATCGCAGGAACAGCATAGGTTTTCTGCACTGCCAGCACATGGCTGCACCGCCAACAAACACAGACTGCTTCGAAGTTTTTCGAAGCGCCGCGCTTCGCAGTCCAGAGCGACTCTATTGCAGCATCTTGTGACTGCTGGACTTTCCTCTGCCCACCTCTCAGATTTCAGAGGTGGTAGCTGCGGCCTGACCAGCGCTTGCCCCAGGAAACCCCAAATGCTGGAGTTGTGATCACGGGATGTGCAGGCCTGTGAAGGCTTGGAACTGCTCCGATGGGCGGCGGGCCTGCGGATAGACCGGAACCATGACATGTCATAAGACCAAGGCTGACAGATACAGGTGTCAATGCCGAAGCCCAAGTAAGAGCAGGTACTCGGGTGGGTGGCGCAAGATGCCAAGAGAAGCCACCCCTGCCGAAGCATCTGCTAAGAATTGAACCATATTAATTTTCAGCCCCTTTCACAAAAAAACACCACAATCACCCGAAACCCCTCCTGCTTCCACCCGCGCCTCACTCTCCTGCGCCGAGCCGAAATCCAGCTGCTGCAGGCTGGGCATCAGAAGCCGGCTCTCCTTTCTGCGTTGGCTTCCAAGCGGGACCCCCCCTTGATCTTCCAAAATGGACCACGTCTCACCTCCTGTGACTCGGACTTTGGAGTGCAGGATCCCAAGGCCTGGATGTTCATCAAGCCGTCCGAGACAAGCTGTTGTGGCCGATGGAGATTAAACAGCGTCAATTTCGGATCCGTGATTTGGGATGTTGAAGTTTAGGGTTTAGGGCTGAGCGCTTGCAACTCGAATTGAGCTCCTTACAGAGGTTTCTGGACAGCTGCGGCCTCGACAAGTGTCCAGCTGAGGAACACTCGAAACCCCGGAGTCTCAACCCCGAACCCGACCCAGAATGCCATAGTACTGAAACGGATACCAGGCATGAAAACAGCATGCTCCAATCCTATACGATCCTTCTGCTGTCCTTCTATCTCCACAGCTCCCGGGCCCTTTAACCCGACTCCTGCTCGGATGCCTCGATGTAGATCGCTGCAGCCAGGGAAGCCTCTTTTGATCTCTTTTGCGCTTGGTAGATTTCAAGGGTTCGGGATCTAAGTTTACAGGATCACAAAAAGGGTTGGGGTCCAGGTCCGGCAAAAGAGCCCAGGGCTTCGGTGACAGGGAGGGTTTCTGCTTCTTCACCTAGCTTCGGAGCATGGCTAGCGGCACATCGCGACGCCGAGCCCAACACAGTCACGGATGAAGCCGGCTGGTGCTGACACACTGACGGGCGCTGCTTACGCAAAGCCCAAAATGACCGCACGTAAAGGCGACTGGTAAGTATAGTTTCATGATCAGCATCACGATCTTAATCACAACGCACACATCACACATCATCACCAACATTTCCATCATCGTCACCATGATCATCATCAGCACCATCACCATGACCATCTCACAATGCACCGAGACGCCGCAGCTAATTCGATGATTGGGCAGACCAAGAAGACGCCCGAAGCGGCGTTGAAGACCGCTGGTGCATGCCTCCAGGGGCATGGAGTCTTCCAAGCACACCGGCTCCGAGCTTCAAGGCTTAGGGCTTAGGGCCTTAAGGGTGGCTTCTACGGGATTCCTGAATCCTTCTGCATGCCTTGAAAACAAGGGATACTTCACATGGACCGCCCTCTCCAAGAAGAGGATGGCATCGAAGATCCCGTTCACCAGGCACATGAGTCCTGGGATTCTGAAACGGCAAACTTGAGACTCGCCGCCTTCCCGTGGGGGCCCACGGAGGCCTAGAGGCCTGTAGGGGGCCTGGCATGTCCTTGGGGCCTTTGGAGAAGTAGAGCAGCCAAGGTACCGTAGTAGAGGCAATAGCCTGTGTCCACCCCTGGCAGGGAACGAGCCGGACAGTTGAGTTTCAAGAGCTTGGAACAAGGCCAGAGCTGAAAAAAACTGGCAGATTTCGGGCTGGGCATATGTCATGAGAGCTTCGACAAACCCAACAAGCCTAGCCCTAGCACAAACCCAAAAGCTTACGCTGAAACCGCCGAAGGGGAGACCCCCGTGTTTCCAGGACGTCCTGGTTCCAGCAACAGGCCTGCTCCGGTGGCCAGGACGAAGGTCCCCAAAGTCAGAATCAGCAGCGACAGCAGAGCTCCCCACACGTCCAAGATGAGAAACCTCTGCTGGGGCTTTCAGAAGTGCGCCAGTCACTGCTACATTACATCGTCACCGTCACCGTCACCATCCGTGACCGAAGAGTTTCAGACTGGCGAGGCGCCTGGCCACCATCAGCAGGGCTTGCACCTCAGCTCCAGGCGACAGCACTGAGCCATCAGAAATCACCACCAGGGGCGGTTTTTAATTCTCCTGATTGGGTTTGTTCTCAGCAACCAAAACGAGTCTGAAACCCCCACCGAGCTGCTCCCAGCAGCCCGATGAAGTAGGGCCGCGCTTTAAGCGCGAAGCGGGTGGGCGGCAGGTTCAGGGAGGCCGCGTTGGGGAAGATCATCTTCGCCCCCTGCTGGAGCGTGGGGCGGCTTCGGTTTCTTCGGTGGGAACGCAGACTGAAGAGGCCTCGTTTGGGTTTCAAGCATCCAGCTGAAGGGTTTCGACAACAGGCGGCTTCTAGCTACCCCGGATTGAAGAGCCTCGAATGCAAAGGTTGCAGACACTGCGCACCACTCTCAGGCGTGAAGACTGTGACCGTAGCACCTTAGACTCGCAAACGTCAAGCCCGCACCTTCAAGACCTTACACCAGAAATGCAGCCACTCTTACACCCCCAAAACTTTTGAGCTCTTCCCCTGCTCCCCTACATGTTTACGGGCAGGCCAGTAGGAGTCACGCGAGAACAGGCAAGGAATTAAGCCTTCGGACTTGCAGTTTGTCACTGGGGACAGCGTGGCAATTAAGGAAAAGCAGTGATAGCAGTGGTAGCACAAACTCTGACTCCACTCCAGCCCTCTACGCAACACTGAACTCCACGGACCGCTATCCTGAGCATGAAATGCTGAGTATGAGCGATGTTTTTTGAAAGTGCGTGCATGTCGGGTTGCCGCGGCCATGTTTCGCCGGACTCATTGGATTGCTACTTAAAATGTTTTCTGCGGCCAACTCAGCTCTTAGTCCTCGTAACAGTCGATGGCGAGGGCCGCGCGCGTCAGGATGATGGCTGTCTCACATGCGCTTTTGCCGGCGACTTGCGAAATAGAGTCGATGAAGGCCTGCACGGCCGCACGGTAGTCCACCTTGTTGTTCATAGCATTCTGACCGCGGTGGCCTGTGGCGATACTTTGAGTATTCTTTGGCCCGGCCTGCCGCTGATCATTGTTGTTCTGTTCGTACCGGTAATTGGCTTGCAAACTGCCATACCAGTTCCCAGGCTGTTCGTACGAGTAGTTGTAGTTGCTGTAGTAGTTGCCATAGTTGTAGTACTGGTTGGTCCTCGGCTGCTGCTGGTATCGACAGCCCTGTTGGGGCATGGCGAGGCCAACTGAACAGCAATCGCAAGCACTGCAAACCCTCCCTCCCACCAGGTCTATTCTTTTATCCAAGTGGCGATATTCGTCCTGATGACGGAGGAATCCTCTCCGTTCGGTGTCCCGGCCTGCCGCCAGTGAAAGAAGAATCCGCTCTTGCACTGGGTAGCGGGGACACCCAATTGATGCCGCTTGAACGGTGAGGTCTATTTTCCTTAGCAGTCGTCGCCTGAACTCTCACTATCCTCTTCGGGATAACACTTGTGGCACCTTCGAAAGCGTGTGTGGGGCTCCTCACATATAAAAGTTGACACATGAGACAGCCCAGCAAAGGGCCACTCGCACAACGTAGTCCAAGTACATGTGGGTGACCTGATGTCAATTGAGGCACGATGCAGGGCTCTACTGTCCTCGTTGAGAACGTACCACGGCTGAAGCCCAGCTGATTCTTTTTTCGGTGTGGTCAACCCGGTCAGTCAAGGCTTCTACTAGCGAGCCTTCAGCTTTCATGCTGACCGAGTTATGAAATGATTTCAGCTCACGCTCAAGCTTAGCAACACTCGCCAAAGCCTCTTGTAACCTATCCATGTAGCCGGTAAGATAACGAAATTCCGAACATTCTGCATTCTTCAACTGCGAAGGCAGGGCCGCTGCGCCACCGTTCATCAACCGTTGAGCAAGGTCAGTGAGAGGGGCCTCGGCTATGTACGAAAGAATAGCCAACGAGCCCCAGCGGCCAAGCAACTGAATGGTGATCGCATCAAGTCCTCAGAGGGACATTGTGCGAGCGCCAGTGATGCGAAAGGCATGCCCTGTGTACGGCTGCTTGCCCACAGGATCTATCGCTGCAGCGCCCGTGAGAGCTACAGCCGCGCGAAGAGTGTCTAGGTGCTGTTGGTGCAACCCTGCCCTTGATCGTCCACGAACAGAGGGCCGGGGTAGAATCCTCTGTCCTTGGCGAAGGCCTTGTACCGCAACAACATGTGATACGCGCAAGGTCTGCCCATGGAACCAAGGCACCCCTCAATCCGTCTTCGAGGACGGGAGTGTAAAGGTGACCGTCAGCCTATCTTCTGCCAGCACAACGTCTTGCCAGGAAGCTGACGCGGCTTCAAGTTCACGTAGCAAAAAGAATACTGCAATTATCACCATCGCCAATGGAATAATGGGTCCTCCTGGTGCAATCGGCAGCTCCCGGTTCTCAAGAGCTTTGCAAACATCTTCAAATGGAAACGCTTCAGACCTGACGGGCCCCGCAAGGCCTCGAACTACCGATCTTCTACATAGCCGACACATACGTTCCAGCTGTGGTGAAATCTCAAATCCCAACGCCAGATGCTCATCCCGTGCTGTACTTCTGTAGTTACGGTAGGAGCGATAGCCAGCCGCTTTGAAGAGGGCTGCTAGCCGCCGAACTGCATCCGGTAGTAGAGGAAGTACGGGGATTGAGTCTCCCACTGCAGATCTGTGGAATCGCTTGTAGGTAGCCCATACCGCCTCTCTTGGACCAATAGACGTCGCCGCGTACATGTCGCGATCCAGATCCTCCAGCGCAGTGCTGAAAGACGACGGGCATGCAGCGACGGCCAAGGCCCTGCTAGCAGCTTGTGAGCGCTCCAAGGAAGCTGAGGGGGCGTGATGATTAACGGAATCATTGGATTGCGCCGCATGGGCATTGGCTAGCCTAAGATCTATTCTAGGCAGGAACTGAACCTTGCGCTTGGGCATAAACGCAGAGCTTCAGGAGAACGGTCAGCCTGCGTGTTGCCTCGAGAATGCTGATGCAGTGCAGAACGAGACAAATGCAGTGCAGAACTGAACATGGCGCGCCACAACATGTCGTGTGCAACGTGATACACATCGTCGCTCTGAGGAACCCCGCAAGAAAAGAAGAACCCGAAAGGACCCCAACACCCCGAACCCAAAGGTCGCCTCACGAGAAAACTCGCAGTCAAAACCGTGTACGGGTCGAGGATGCGTCCTTTGGCCTTTCCGGTGTGAACGCGAAGTGAGTCCTTTGCCTGTCGTTGCAAAGGTGAACACTTCTTGCTAGGGCTACGCGGCTACGCAGGCAGTTCACTCAGCTGTAGAGCTAACTGACTGAAACTGTGGCAGAACAAGCAGATAGACCTAACGTAGGAGGATCTGCATGGAAACCACATGCAGGGAGAGAGCCCATATGGTTGAACCGCATGTGTGGCTCCGACAAGTTGTCCCAATTTTAGGGTGAAACACGAAGACGGCCTACTCTGGCGCCATCTGCGAAGCGGCCGTCAAGGTATGATAGAACTGCTGAGAGCGTGCAGGAATGAGCTCCTCGCGAACCTTCGTCAGCACTGAAGGAAGAGAGCAAGCCTTCCCTGGCTGATGTCTTCTGCTCAAAGCATCGGCCAAGACGTTTGCGATGCCTGGAATGTGCTCCAGGAAGCGCGGTTTGTGCGAGCAGTTGCCAAACAACAGTGAAAGCTCTCTAGCGATCAAATGCATGCCTTTGCCAAGACTAATGGTGCGAAGCTTGCTAACCAGCGAAAGCGTGCTGGTGGAATCCGAAACGATAGAGAAAGAGACTTCGTTCCGCATCCACCAGCGTTGCCAGGTTTTCAAGGCCTGGAGAAGGGCTAAGGCTTCCAAAATTTGCTGTGAAGCCGCTGTGCCTTTCTCAAAGTGTAGGAGACGAGCGTCTGTGTCGTCCACTTTGGACCAGAAGTACCTGACAGGTTTGTCTTCCAGCTACAACACTGCCCCCAAACCGTATGGCGATGCATCCGTCACCAACGTGACCTTGATTCCTCGCCCGAAGTAAGTGGCCATGCGGTACACTCGTGTGAGCGTGCCCTCATTGCCTAAGAGTGCCAGCAACCCAAAGACGTGACTGGCGTGGCGCCACTGCTTCGTCCAGACCATGCCGGCGGGCGCATTTGAGGCGCTGCTGTCGGTGTGCAGGGCCGCATAAACATCAGACAAATACGGCCTCACCATCTCGACGATGCCGGCGAGGTAGTTCAACTTCCCCGCGTAAGTGTTGAGCTCTTTGCGCGAGACTAAGTTCACCTGTAAATGGCGTGCTGTGCTGGCCCGCAACTCGTCGATCAGTTGCGGCTTGGCTGTGACGGTAATCTTGGCTGACGCGCTGCCAGCTCTTTCCAACTTGAGACTAGTGCCAATCCATTGCACTTCCTTTCCACGGTCGGCCTTCTTAAAGGCGAGCTTGATGCCAAGGGCCCGCCACAAGAGGACGAGCGCAGATAAGTTGACGTCCCGCTGTGCGATGCACACACATGGGTCGTCTACATAGATCTGCAGCCTCAACGCGCTTTCACCGAAGGCGCCTTGGGTAAGGCGCGCCACCAAGGCGGCCACTCGAACGCAAACAACGGGCGCATTGATGGAGCCCTGGGCCTGGACGGTGTAAACGGCATATTTGCCCTTGTATGCGAAGGCAAAATGGCGCCTTTCTTTCGGGTGTAAAGTGTAAAGGTATTTGAAAGAACCAATCTGAATAGTCCAATACCAACCATTCCACCCCAGCATCTGTGCCCTCAGCTTGACGAAGTAGTCCCAACGTGTCGTCCAACACGTCAGTGACCCGTGGTAGCAACAAACGGCCACCTTTCCACGCCCGCTGGTTTACATGCGATTGTTTGCAATCCAATATAAGTCGGCATTTGATCTTGCCCGTGATTGGGTGGATCTTGGTGATGAGCCCGAGCTTGGATAAACAAACCTTTCCGCCTCCCCATGCTTCACATGCGCTCCGCGACTCAAAGCACTTAACAAAACCGCTATCCAGCAGTCTGTTGACTTCCGCTTCCGCCGCGGGGTCGCCGTCCACTGATGTGTAGTTGCCGTGGAAGTCCTCGGCCCAACCTTCGTGGAGGCCTAACTCAGGCTCAGGATCAGTGGTCGGTGGAAATATCCCATCGTCTCCAATCATGACTTCGATGCCAGCCGGCGCCCCTGTGACGAGCCATTGATGCATACGGTCCGCATCTGGATCGTTTACTGCCTTGGCCCACCGATGTAAACGTTCC